ATAATTCAAATTACAATAACTCACATGAATTATCTTGCATGTATTATAATAAAAATCCATCTGCCATTTGTTTGCCCAACTCACTAAATGATCTAAGTCCTTTTGTAAGTTAGCAGCATCCTTTTCACAGCTAGCAACACCCAAGACCGTAATATCATCTGCAAATTTAAGTAATTTATTTACTATCCCTTCATCTATGTCATTGATGTAAATCAAAAAGAGCAACGGTCCTAAGACTGAACCCTGAGGTACCCACTTGTGACAATAATCCAGTTTGACTGAACTCCATTTGTAACAACCCTCAACTTTCTTCCACATAACCACTCTTCTATCCAACTTGCTAGCTTATCCCCCACACCTATAGAGCTATTTTTTTACAAGCCTTTTATGTGGCACCTTGTCAAATGGTTTCTGAAAATCCAGGTACACCAAATCTACACCCTTACCCTCATCTATATAAGCAGTAACCTTTTCAAAGAATGTTTTATAGATTTGTAAGGCAAGATTTTCCCTTAGTGAAACCATGTTGAATATCCAATAAAATTCTAAACTTTGTTAAATGACTTTGCAAAGCATCTTTTAACAGACTTTCCTAAACTTTTCCCACAACTGATGTAAGATTAATGGGTCTGTAATTACCGAGACAATTTTTATTACCTCTCTTGAAAAGAGAAGTTACATTAGCTAACTTCCAATCCTCTGGTACCTTCCCACTGTTCAAGGACTGACAAAAAATAGTAAGTGGCTCATATATCTAATCTTTAACCTCCTTCAAAACCCTTGGGAAAATATTATCTGGCCCAGGAGCCTTATCATTTTTGAAACTTCCCAATTTTTTCTTAACCAGATTAGAATTAATGCAGTTATCTTCTTGGTCTCCTGGTCATTCACAAACAGAGGAGAAAGAACGTTGTTTGATGTTGTTTCCACTTATCCACTGATCAAGATGGGGAATACTGCTTAAATCTTCATTAGTAAAAACCAAAGAAAATACACAATTTAATAACCCAGCAATCTCATAATCATCAGATACTAGCCTTCCTTTATCATAAAATCTGAGTGGTTCTATCTCCATCCTAATATTTTGTTTACCCTTAATGTATTTAAAGAAATCCTTACTGTTAATTTTTACATTTTCAGCTAACCTTTTTTCATACATCCTTTTTGATGTCCTAATTTCCTGTTTCATCAACTTTCTTGATCTTCTATATTCTTATAAATCTCCTGTCATACCAGTCAATTTATATTTCTTAAATTTATGATGCTTTTCTGTAATTTAATTTCTTAAACTCTTTGAGAGCCTACCTAGTTTTTTTACTTGTAGCTACCCTTTTCTTTCTATAAGGAATATGTTTACCTTAAATATTTAAAAATTTATCCACATCTGATCAGTGTCTCCAAATAACTCAGTTGCCCAATTCTCAACAGATAATTCTTGTTGCATCCCTTCAAAATTTGCTTTTTATAAAATTTGTAACCAAAATATCATTATTCCTTATTTCCATATGCAGCAAAACATTGAACCTAATAGAGCAATGATCAATTGCACCTAAATGTTTCCCAATTTCCACCCTCTCAATCATTTCTTATTTGAAGTCAATAATAAGTCTAAAATAGCATTGTTTCTATTTGAGTAACTGGTGAAGGAAGCCATCCTGAACAGTTTCCAAAAACCTTTCTCCCTCATGGTTTGACTCTAAAAATTCCCAATCTATATGCCTGAAATTAAATTCACCCATAATTATGACTTCATAAACAGCTGAAATCTTAATCTCATTGTAAAGTTTTTCACTAATTTCATCAGTATCATTTGGTGGTCTGAAACAAATTCTCATTGAAAGTATTTTCCCTTTATATCCACTAATAGATACCCAAATGGATTCAATCTCTTTGCTGTTATCTTTTATATCCTGAACTTCAACAGGATGAAACTCACATTTTACATATAAAGCCACTCCTCCCTCCTCTTTAATACTCTATCTCTAGTAAATAGCCTGTAACCCTGTATTTCAAAAACATTTCTGTCATCAAAATCATCTATGTTTAACCATGTTTCAGTTATTCCCATTATATCAAAATCCTCCATTCCTAATAGTGCTCTAAAGTCATCTATTTTATTTCTTATACTTTTAGCATTACAATAGTAACAATTAAGCCTATCATTATAACTACTTCTATACTCTTTTCCTATGCTAAACTTTTCTCTGCCTCTTATTCCTGTTGCATTCAATTTTTCCTGGCCCTCACCACTGTCTAGTCCTAGTTTAAAACTTCCCTTACAGCTGAGTTAATAGTCTTAGCAAACAAGCCAGCCCCTACTCTATTTAAATGTAAACCATCTATTGC